TGCACCTATGAGGTTTGAGATGGCAGTTGGTAAGAGCATCAGACAGAGGCACAAGAGGAAACAAGTTATCAAGGCAACAACCATCCTGGTTAGAGTATTTGATGGGGCTGCCAGACTCCAGCAAGTATCTAAACAAAGAATGTCCTTTCCTTACATAGGTAAGTCAAGGGACAGGGCAAACCTCCAGCTTCTAGACTGCAGTTACCACTCTTGGGGAACTTGGTAAGAGTATTTCTGAGCATCACTCAAGTTGAGAGTTGTCTCTAAAGCTCCTAAGTCAGCCAGAGCAGCTTCTGGTTATCAAGTGGAGCCACAGGAAACTCTCTAAGCCCATGGGGCAGCCTCACCAACCTGCTTCCCAGGAATGGAGCCATGTAAAAGGCATCACCCATTTAATTAGTACTATGGCTTGAATACATGAGGACTCCCCACCGAGAGTCATTAAGAGGGAATGCATCTGAATGTTGGTGCTAGGCCTCTGCAAGGTGAGCAAGATTAGGTAACATCATCAGGGTAGAGCCCAATGAGCACACATCCATGGCTTTATAAGGAACCAAGACAGACATACAAACTTCCCTATCTCTCACTACATGAAGCCTACCACCACACTTCAGGAATCTGCTGGTAAACCACCATCACATGAGGCTCCTTGGCCTTGTACCTCCAGTACCATGAGTCTCTTTTCTTTATAAAGTTTGCAGCCTCAGACAACTTCATTATTGTAATAGAAGACAAATGAATACAACTCAGCACTCTGGGGAGGGGCACTCAAGTAGTGCTGAACTATAGAAACTCATTTTACCAGAGCCTGCTCAGAGTACCCCTGGATCATGTGCTGAGGACTTTTGAGTACCTCAGCCAGGATACTTGGTCTAGTCCACACCCCCTTCCATGCCACATCCCTGATGGTCATCTCACCTGACACACACTGACCATGGTACCTGTTGTACAATCCTACCAGGGTGAACATTACACTCCAAGAAATGGGGACTCCAAGGAAAGAGGGAAAGGGGAGAAACTCGCCTGGCAAGAGCAACTCTCATCCGCCAGCCACCACTGAAGTCTTTCAACTTCTTGCGCTGCATGGCAGGTGTGAAACCCAATCCATGTAAGATCCTTGAGGCCCTCATCTCCGCTTTGTCGGCGTCCAGCTCTTCCAGCCGCTCATAGAGTTCCATGAGCTTCTCACACTCAGCTGTGGGTGGCACAGGACATCAGCTCCCTAAGGGTCCCAGGAGGAAGGCTAGCCCACCCCTGGGTATAGTCATACCATCCTCATGAGCTAAGCGCTCAGCCTCCCTCTCCAGCATGGCCCGCTCTGTGTCCACCTCCATCACACACTGCAAGGGTGTTTTTTCACTAGGAGGCATCTCACGAGTCAGATGGTAGATGTCTATGTGCTCAGGGATGGGCACTTCACGTTTCCCAATAGCAGAGAGCAGCATGGATTTTCCTGAGAGTGGCATAAAGATATCCCGTCATTTCATCGCTCTTTTGCACTTGTTTCTAACAGGCCCAGATGTCCATTCTTTAACTACCTTACTTCTTTTCGCTGGATCAAATCCCACTATCCGCCGGGCAATGGCGGCGCACACCTTTAATCCCAACACTCAGGAGGCAGAAGCAGGCTGATCTCTGTGAGACCAGTCTCCAAAGCCACAGAGGAACCCTGTCTCAAAAAACCAAAAAAAAAAAAAAAAAAAAAAAAAATCCCACTATCCTTCACCCTCAGGATTCCCTTTCCAACTTCAAGTCTTGTGCTCCTGCGAAGTCCTGTTTACTTACAAATGGCTTTACATACTACTCCCCACTCTTGTTTCCCATACCAACTTCTTCAGCACCTTCCGTCAAAAACTACTCACTTGGTACTTAACTGCACACTGCTGTGTCATAAATCCTCCACTCATAGTATTAATTCCTGCTAGTGCTAAATACATATGGAGTGATAGATGAGCCAAGAAAGAGAAACCTCCCACTTTGTCCTCTAAGGACCTCACCAATTCCATTTAAGCCAATGAGACCATAACGACGGCCTGAGTTGAGTTCCAGTTTGGTGTCACTGAGCAGCTCTTGGCCGTGAAAGGTCAGTGAAAGGTTGATGATGTGGACGTCAGTACTGTTGGGGTGAGAAGCCAGGACGCCGGTGACAGCTCGAGCAGCAGCTTTCTTCATCTCAAAGTCCTCTAGCTCCTTGGCCAGCAAGTCAACTTCTGGAGACAAATGCAATTTGGGAAGGGGCTGTCAGACACTCAGATCTGGGTCAAACAGGCAGATCTCACAGGACCTGAGCTCAGGTCATTCGAAGCAGACTCAAGAATTCCAGGATGAGCTGGGTGGTGGCACACCCCTTTAGTCCCTGCAGTGAGGAGGCAGAGGCAGGCGAGTTTGAGGCCAGCCTGGTCTACAAAGCGAATTCCAGGATAGCCAAAGCTACAGAGAAACCCTGTCACAAAAAAAGCAGAGTTCCAAGAGCTTCAAACCCAGTGCACATGACAGACTTGCCCCAAACCCTGCTTTCACAGATGAGTTTTATTTTGCACTTTGATTCTAAGCTCTGTTGTCCTGCAAAGTCCTTCCCCTCCCGCTGTGCTTATCCTCTCCACCTTCCACAACTAGCCAGGGAAAAGACGCCCGTGGCCTAACCTGATCACACTAGAGCTTCCTTCTACATACAACTCTTAGTGTGTAGATGATCCTTACCACTGAACTCTATTATTTCTATTCCCATTATTAATGTCATTATGTTTCTTCAGATGTTTAGTGTTTCCCTGTGGTACAGCTCTCTCTCTCTCATTCACAATACTCAAAACATGGTGCCTGCATATGCATTATAAACAACTGAGATGACTAAAATAGACATAAATAACACTGCTGAATGGCACACAACCAATGTTAGGTATCATGAAAAGGCATTGCCATATTGAGCCAGACTTTGAGAGTAAATGTCAAATACAGCTTGTATAAACACTATAGTATCAAAAACACGGTATGAAAGGACAAAAGATATGCAGCATCAAAGGGACATCGAGTAGTCTACATGCAGCGCCAGGACTATGTAGTGAGTTTTCAGGGAAGTGAAGACATAGGCTGCAATGTTCATCATATGCACTGCCATGTTTTCCCCTTGTCTTGGTTAGCTTCACAAAAACCTGGGAGGAAGGAACCTTGACTGAAGAATTCCCTCCACCAGACTGGCCAGTAGCAGCATCTGTACGGCATTTTCTTAATTGCCAACTAATGTGCCAGGCCCGGTCCAGTGTGGGCAGTGGCACCTGTGGCTAGGTGGGTCTGAGCTAATTTGAAAGTTAGCTGAGCAAGCCAGTAAGCAGCATTCCTCCATTGCCTTCCTTCCCCTCCAAGAGGGACTGCAACCTGGGGATGAACTTTTCCTCCCAAATTGTTTTTATCAGTGTTTTGTCATTGTAATAGAGAAAGGAACCTAGAAATTAGTTTTCTGAAAGTAAGCTATGTTTATACTATGAGTAAGTAACAACTAATATGGAGAAATGCTCAATAAATCCCCAAAACATAACAAAACCAAAGGTGTTTTCTCAGGAAAATTACAAAAAACAGTAATTAACAGCATGTAACAATAAGTTACATATTAGTATAATCGGTATAATCACTATCCCTGACATGTCACCACCGGAGGCTAGAAGGGAAACTGAGAAAAATGATAGGAAGTTCCCTTTTCTTTTGTCTACTACGGCATCAGGATAGATCAACAACTCCCATCTGTGTTTACCACTTCTGTTCAGATTCCTTGGTCGGTAACAACGTGGCACTATCTTTAACTTTATGGGTCTGGTTGTCACTAGAATGTTTCATAGGGTATATATATAAAGGCGTGTGTGTTGGGACCTTTACTTAGTAAAAGCAGCCCAGGCTGGCCTCCTGGATGTTGGGATTAGGCATAGGCATCTGAACCTAGCTAGACACATTGCCTCTGCATCCAGATTCTGATTTTGGCTGAGGCAACCAGCTCAGGGAATTCACCCAATTCCCCTCCATCACCTGTGGTCTCTCTGCCATTGGTCTCCTCATTTTTCTCCTCTGCCACCTGAGGTTCTGTGACAGTGTCTCCATTTTCTTCGTGTCCCTTCCTGGGCCGCTGTCGAGCTTTGGCAGCTTCCTTCTTTTTGGCTGCTTTTTTCTTGGCCAAGTCGGAGGGCATGGCGATGAGCCACAGGGGGGTAGTTACTGTTCTTTCCGAGTCTGAAGAAAAGCAAACAGATACTCCAAAATTCTAAACTTACGGGCAGGAGTGTCTGAGCCGCAGTCCATCCCTTCTCGGAATTTTCCTATCAAGCCTCTGGTGCCCCCGCTCTGCCTCCGCCAACTTTGCCAGGGGCTCTTCACACACTCTTGACCTCCTTGGGGGCTGGCGCGCCAGGCCCCACCGCCGGCCTCCCCTGGCCGCGCTCTCCCCGGGCCTCGAGCGAGGGGCCGCGCTGCCCCCGTCTCCAGTTTCCCAACTTGGCGCTCGCGCGCCCCGGCCGGCCGGCGGCTTCCCTTGTCAGGTCTTCGCCCGGAGTTCGACCCGGACCTGGTTTCGGCCGCTCCCCTCCACCCCACCGACTGTGGCGCGGTTTCTCCCCCGGAGCCACGCGTCCTCCCCGGCGGGTCCCAAAGGGTCTTCGCGCTCGCAGCCCTAACCTCCCCCACAACCCGCGCGCCCGCCTCTCCGCTCCAGCCAGCTCTTTTCCCTCTCGGCCCTTTCCATCCCGGCCCCGATCGCCCTTCCGCTTCTCCTCCCGCTTCCTGCTCACGGGTCAGCACTCTCCTCCCCTCCGGCTCCCCTTCCCACTCAACTCACGGGGCCTCGCCGCTCGGCCACTGTCGCAACAGAGCTGCTCCTTGAGCGACTCCGCGTGCGGCCGGCTCGCCAGCCAATCACGGCTCCGGGTGGCCCTTGGCGCGCTGCCGCGAGGGCTCCTGGGAAATGCAGTTCTTGACTCGCCACAACCTCGGGCAGGACTGTTCTCAAGAACTACCACGAATCTCGAGAGTTGCGCGCTCCTCGTGACGCCATCAGGACGCGCGAGGCTCCGGGTTCGGGGGGAGGATTAGAGTCCAAGCTAGAGTCCTGTCTCCGCATGCCGGCTTCAAGCGTTGGGACCTGCAAGTCCCAGTTGGCCCCTCTGAGAGAGAGGCGAGCTGATCTTCCAGACAGTACTTACCTCTAGCAGATAAATTTACCAGGCTGCTCAACTGGTTTAACCAGCAGGGCGTGCAACTACGCTTCCCAGCATGCATCCCGAGCGAGGCGGCCCAAACAATGGGAGAAGAGGGGTAGAGGCGGAGGGAAGGGGAAGAGCGGGGTGCCGCCGGGCGGAGGCCGCTCTCACGGTGAGGTAGCCTCTCGCGGACCTCACCGTCAGAGCCCTGTACGAGAAAGGAGCCCCAGTTTCATGGAACCGAAATTGCAGATCCTCGTCCATCGCTAATCAAACTTTTAGAAAGTGTTAAAGGTTGTTGTGAACCTTGTGTTTTAGCTGAGAGTAACTGGGTTCCATCAGAGCCGTGTAAGTGTTCTGAAAAAGAGTCTAAAGAAAGCCGGCCGGTGGTGGCGCACACCTTGAATCCCAGCAGTCTGGTGAGTTCGAGGCCAGGCTGGTCTGCATAATGAGTTCAGGATGGCCGGGGGAAAAAACCCTGTCTCGAAGAACAAACAACAACGAAAACCAACCCAACAAAATCTGAGTCTAAGGTAAAAGGACCACTGTAACACGAAATAATAAATGGCCCAGAGACTGATAATCGGGGTTCAAGCTTCAAGCTAAATACCCGAAAAGTAAAGCAGCCGGCCACTAGCTTCTTACCTCCTCCTCAGTCTGAATGGGCTGTCCTGTCTCCACGAGCTCTCACCAGACTGTAATCTGACTGTGGCCAGAGAATGAATTCTTCTCTGAGACCTTGCTTCTGTTTTATATGCTTCCCTAATGGTGGGATTGAAGATGTGAGCCATGACACTCTTAGACTGATTCACTCTTGTGTAGATCTGGGTGGCCTTGTCTATCTCTTAATCCTGAGTCCTAGGGTTTTGTTTTGTTTTGTTTTGTTTTGTTTTTTGAGATAAGGTTTCTCTATAGCTTTGGAGGCTGTTCTGGAACGCTCTCTCTGGAGACCAGGCTGGCCTCGAACTCACAGAGATCTACCTGTCTCTGCCTCCTGAGTGCTAGGATTAAAGGTGTGTGCCTGGCTTCTATGGGTTGAGGCTGACTTTGCTTTTCTGAATCCTCAGTCAAGCTTTAATAAATCATAAATAATGTATCACTACAGACCACTTTGCTGAGTTTAGGTTTATGAACAATTAGCTGTGATTTGTCTTGTTTCATTTCCCCTTGTTTAACATCTGTAACAGACTTGGTGTTAGGTACATTTAAACTCTAGACTTGTAGCCTGAAAAACAATGTAACTCTTTTTTGTCCCTTGTTACCTCTCCAGGGCCCTGTTCACTGGTGACTTACTATTGATGACACTGAAGCAAGAAAAACTGATCCTTCCCTTGAGTGCACTTCAGAAAGTGAGCCCTTTTTCCTTTACAGTTATCATTTTCCCAAGCTGAACAGAAATTAGGTTTGAAGGTCATCATGGATGGACATCATAAGCAGCTTCCTTTGGTAACACACTAATATTGAGAAAGACCATGTTAGAACTTTGCCCTGAGTGGGAAACAATCTGGAGGGAGAGAGGAGGAGAGAAGGGAGTAGGGAAAGATGTATAGCTGCAGTATAAGTAAGTAAGTAAAGTAAGTAAGTAAAGTAAGTAAGTAAAGTAAGACTTTTGAACGGGCAGGTATATTTTAAGATTGCTATTTAAGCAGGAGGCTTTTGGGTGATGAACAAACACACTCTATTGCTTCCTCCATTAAGAGTTAATCCACAGGCTCAGCTGTTAAGAGCACTTGCAGAGGATGGGTTTTTGGCACCCACATCAGGTGACTCCCAACTGCCTATGAAAACAGTTCCAGGAGATCCAGCACCCTCTTGTGGCCTCTGCAGGCATTTGCACACGTGGTAAAAATAGAGACCAGGAGGTATACACACACACACACACACACACACACACACCCCAACACACCAGCAGGGGGTCCTACAAATGGGTCTGTTAATGGCCTGGACAGGAAAATGCTCAGGAAGCTGTTCCATTGTCCACCTTTACCTCTTGAGAAATGTTTTTCCTTGACAGTGTTCCTTTTTTTTTTTTTTTTTTTTGGTTTTTTTTTTTTTGGTTTTTTTGAGACAGGGTTTCTCTGTGGCTTTGGAGGCTGTCCTGGAACTAGGTCTTGTAGACCAGGCTGGTCTCGAACTCACAGAGATCCTCCTGCCTCTGCCTCCCGAGTGCTGGGATTAAAGGGTGCGCCACCACCGCTCGGCTGACAGTGTTCCTTTTTAGGTCCATTGTCTACTACTACCTTTGAGGATGGCCTCGTTTTTTTGCTCCATTGTAAACTGTCTGTCTTCACTACTCTCTGTGCCTCATTGGAATTTGTAAACAGATGACAATAACTTGGAAGCCAAGGGGAGGTCAGAGTAAGATCCCTGTAACAATAAGACTCAGAAAGCATGAGCTGGAGAGATGGCTCAGAGGTTAAGAGCACTGGCTGCTATTCCAGAGGTCCTGAGTTCAATTCCCAGCAACCACATGGTGGCTTACAACCATCTGTAATGAGATCCAGTGCCCTCTTCTGGTGTACAGACATACATTGGATCAGAAAGCTGATCCCACCTCTCCCATAATAGGAATGGTTTATCTCCTTGATGGTCCGCTAGTACTTAAAGTTCAGATATGTCACTTGAACACCATTGACCATGTCCTAGGATAACCTCCTCCAGTTAGTAGTACTATTGGCATCTTACACGCTTCGATGTAGCAAGAAAACTTTATTCAAAGGCCAAGTAATAGTACAGGGCACATGAGTGAGAATGTACTCAAGGGACTTGATTAATGTTCAGGGTTCCTCTTGTGCAGTCTAAGGGAAAGAGGGGCTGGCACTAAGGGTGTGATATGAATGGTTGTCTGTTTTGGCAGACAGGTTTGAGTTACATAAGCTTTTGCTCACTACTCATGACCTTTTCCCATGATGCATCTTACCTTTAAATTTTTTTTGTTTGCTTGTTATTATGTCTATACCACGTGCTCACTGCTGTCAGAAGACAGCCTGGATTGATTCTCTCCTTACACCATGGATTCCCAGAATCAAACACAAGTCATCGTGCTTTAGTGGCACCTGCTAACCATCTTGTCTTACTAGCCCTTCAAAATGTTTTATTTGTCTGCACCGAATATGCTCACATGTGTGCGGGGGAGGGCAGAGGAGGATATCAGGTGTCCTGCTCTGTCACACACTACCTCATTTCCTTGAGACAGGGTCTCTTACCGAATCTGGAGCAAGCTGGCAGTCAGCATGCCCTCCTGTCTCCACACCGCCCTGTTTTGGGCCACCACCTCACAAGTAATGACACAGAGATTTATTAATTATGAAAGTTTGGAATTAGCTTAGGCTTGTTTTTAACCAGCTCTTAAAACTTACCACATTTCTATTCGTCTGTGTTCTGTCATGTACAGCCCATCCTGCTTCCTCCATGAGTGCTGGGATTAAAGTATTCGCCACCACTGCTGGCTTTTTTTGTTTTCTTGATGGTAGTTATGCTGACGAGGGTGATGTGGGGTTTCAGGGTGGTTTGGTTGGCATTTCCCTGATGGCTGAGGAAGTTGGACATTTTTTTTCATGTATTTATTGGGCATTTGTACCTCTTTTGAGAGCTGTCTGTTCAGTTTACTTGTCTATTTATTGATATTTAATAATTTCAATTCTTTATATAATCCATCTTGCATCAGACAAATAGCTGGCCAAAATTCTCTTCCGTTTTGCTGGCTCTCCCTTAGTTCTGGTAATGATTACCTTTGCTGTGCAGACGCGTCTTAATGTGGTGCATGTAATCTCACCTGTTAGCTCTTGCCACTATTTTCTGACCTAGGAAGGAAAAACTTTTGAAAAATAAACAGACCATGATATCCAGGTGCTAAGTGCCTTAAAAGAAGTGACTCCATGCACACTGTAATACCAAGGAGGCGGGGCTCTCACTTGGCACATACTGCTTTTGTGCAAACCCAGCTTTCCCATTCAGAGCTTGACCTTGGGCAAAGTATGTACTTTCCTCTATGGAGTAAGAATGACAGTACTACAGTTTTACCTCATGTTGGTTAGGAAGGTTAAATTAGTCAAATTCCTAGGTTTCTATTAGAAAATTAAGTTTTAGGCTTAAGTTGTAAGGTTCTGTGGTTTGTAGAATACTTGTCTAAGGGCTGGGTGGTGGTGGTGGTGGTGGTGGTGGTGGCGGTGGTGGCGGAGGTGGACCATGCCTTTAATCCCAGCACTTTGAAGACAGAGATAGGCAGATCTATGTGAGTTCAAGGCCAGCCTGATCTGTGGAGTGAGTTCCAGGACAGACTCCAAAGCTACAGAGAAACTCTGTCTCCAAAAACCAAAAAAAAAACAAAAAACAAAAAACAAAAAAAAGGGGGGGGGGGATAAAAGAATATGTGTCTAAGGATAATGTACACTAGCTATTTATTTAATATAATATTGTTAGTAAACACAGCATCAAGAATGACCAAAAGCTAAATAGCTAAAAACCCTCTGTATAAAGCAAAGGAGCTATCTATGATTGTGGATCAAAATCATTCACCCAGGAAGCAGGAAAGATGTCTCACTCAGTAAAGCCTGTGCCACATAAGCACAGGACCCTGTGCTTGGATCCCTAACACTCATGTAAAAAGCTGGGCACAGTGGTACTCACTTGTAATCCCAGTACTGGGGAAGTGAAGACAGACAAATCTCTGGGACTCCCTGGCCAGCCAGTCTACCTGAGTCAGTAAACTCTAGGCTTAGTAAAGAGACCCCGTCTCCAAAAGTGAAGCACAGAGTGATTGCAAAACACCCTATGTCCCCCTGTCTACCTCAGGCCTCCACCTGCACAGGCACATATGTATGCATGTCTGCATAGACATACACACATACACATGTACCACACACATACACACCCCTCACGCAGGAACCTACTCCTGTCTTACTTAACATAGTGGTCACAAGCAATTAAGAGGTTACAAGAGAATAATATTTATTTTTTGAGACTAATCATTCATTATGCTATTTCTATCATCATATTTAATTCCCCCAGAAAATTCTGAAGTGGATATTGTTACTGCTATTTCCAGTCTATATACAAGCTCAGGTACAGTGCTTGTTAGAAAAAACCAAACCAAACCAAACCAAAGAAAAACCACTGCTACTTAGAGCCATACAAGAATTTAAGGCTGGAATCTTTGGTTCTCTACCATCAAGTACTGTCAGTGTAGCCAGTCACAGTTGTGATATCCTATGAGTGAAGATAGGCAGTCTTCTTCAGCAAAGTTAGTGTCTCAGGAAACTTGCTAACTGCTTGGATTATTTTCATTCCAGAGCAGGAAAAGTGCCAGGGATGAGAAAAGAAATGAAGGCTAGATATGAGTAACAAAAAGTCACAGTGTGGCTCCAAATGACGCTGTAATGATAAGCGACACACTTACTGAAAGTAAAACTAAGTATTTATTGTAGAAATTACTCACAAGATACCAAACAAGTAACCCAGAAGAGCCGCTGCCGAACCGGAAGCCGAACTCCGGGAAAAGAGACCAAGACTTCCTGCGTGCTGTCTTTTATGCCTTTCCCCCCGTAACGCCCCCTAGCCATGCCCAAAAGTGGGCCTGGCTAGTGACGTAGTTTACCGCCTACGTATGTATACGTCTTTAGTCATGCCTAAAGTGGGTGTGGTTAGCGGTGTGGTAAACCACCCTTTTATTACCTCATCTGTATGCGCCTCTAGTAAGTCACAGGGTTAATGGTGGCATACAGGCTTCCTCCTACAATTCCCCTTTTAGTCTAAAAGGACAACTAATTTGTGTCAATGAACAAATTGTATCAAACATCTATTCTATCTAAACCTAAACTTATCTGAAAGAAACACCCAGATATGAACACCTCCTTCCAATCCCAACTCTAAAATAATTGAAAACTAACACTAACAGATGTAAACTATCTTATAATATCAATAGTAGGGAGAGGGGGCGTGGAATTCTCAAAACTACTTCCTGCTGAGATGGGACGATGATAATCTCATGGGGACCTGTGAGAAGAAAAAAATGTTAGTATAACAAAATCTCCGTAGATCAGACAGTCTCTGTATGGCAGGAAATGCTTGATTGAAGTTCATGACTGGGGTTCTAGTGTTGATTGAAGCTCTCATCTGAAGCTCTGGCCAGATTGTAGACGATGTGCTGTTTCAGTTTCTTGGTCCGGAGTTGTGTAGAGTGATGTAGTTTCAAGCTAGTTTCAGGATAGTGCTTGTCAGGTGGAGTCAATGATGTGGGGCAGTTCAGATGCCTCCAGTCGAATCCGGTGAAGTCAAGGAAGTGGATCCTCATCCTCTTTCTGAAGCAGTTGAAGATTGCTGTCAGGAAATCCCTTGTTCTCTGGAAAACTCAAACATTAATGTTAACAAAGAAATATTTTAACTTTTATATGTATGCATACTGGAAGAGGTGACAATAGGGAAGATGGTAAACATGAAGGAAATTAGACTTTTCAGAAAAAGAAATCCACAGATTACAGTCCCTAATTTTATTTTCTTCTGTCTTATATCAACAAAAAGTCACAGTGCAGCAGGGACTGATTATTGGTTCAATTTGTCCTGGTTTCAAGTCTGCATATGGAAGAGGGTAGACTACCATTTCAATACCTTTTCATATTGATTACATGTTGAACTGATACTTTAGTTATGTCTTTTAGTAGTTTGAGTGTGGTTGGCTCCCATAATCTCAGAAGGATGGCCCTATTAGGAGGTGTGGCTTTGTTGGAGTGGTGTTACATGAGCCCAGGAGAGTCTGTTAAAGGCTCTCAAGAGCCGGGCGGGCGGTGGTGGCGCACGCCTTTAATACCAGCACTCGGGAGGCAGACACAGGCGGATCTCTGTGAGTTCGAGGCCGGGCTGGACCTACAGCCTCCAAAACAATACAGAGAAACCCTGTCTCGTAAAACCAAAAAAAAAAAAAAGGGTCTCAAGAATTTATAGAATTTATTTAGGTATAAAATAGGGATAAACACTTACTGATACAGAGCAGATCAGACATCACTATAATCCAGGGGCTGTGTGTCTCCTGCCCAGGGGAGCTGGAGTCTAACCACCAGAGAGAGGGAGGGAGGGGGGGGGAGGGAGAGAGGGGAGAGGGGAGAGAGACCCCTCAGCTTTTAAGTGGTCATGTAAACAGACAAGACCATGCACTAGAGTTTGCTGCCCCAAAGGTCATTGGCTAAATGAATGGAAATCCCACAACAGTGGTGGTGGGCTTTGAGGTTTCCTATGCTCGGGGTATTGCCAGTGTTTCAGTTCACTTCTTGTTGCCTGCAAGATGTAGGACTCTCAGCTCCAACACCACATCTGCCTGTATGCCGACATGCTCCCCACCATGATGAGAATGGACTGAACCCCTGAAACTGTAAGTGAGCCACTCTGAATTAAATATTTTCCTTTGTAAGAGTTGCTGTGGTCATGGTGTCTCTTCATAGCAATAAAATCTCTAAGACCTATGTAATACAACATAAAATATGAAAGTTTGTTCTACCTTTTCCTTTTACTCTTAATGAGTGTGGCATGGGCTGGAGAGATGGTGCATGATTGCGATCCTGGCACTGGAGAGGCAGGCAAAAGTGAGTTTCTCTGAGCCCAAGTTCACATCATAGGGTCAGGCTTTGTGTCAAAATTGAAACAGTATAAAATTATAGTACTTGACCATAACATAAAAAGAAGTAAAGGGAAACATTGAGTACTAAAGTAATATTTCAGTATGTCCAGAACTGAGGGAGAGAGAGAGAATATCATGAATGTGACAGCAACAAGTGCATCCTGAGCCCTGATATGCGTCTCTATAAATGACAAACACTCGAGAAAGGGTTTAGTCTATCCCAAGCCTAACTGTCTGCCATCCATGAGAGTTGTTTCTTAAGAATTTAGCACAGGAGCCTGGCGGTGGTGGTGCACGCATTTAATCCCAGCACTCGGGAGGCAGAGGCAGGCGGATCTCTGTGAGTTCGAGACCAGCCTGGCCTACAAGAGCAAGTTCCAGGACAACCTCCAAAACAATACAGAGAAACCCTGTCTCGAAAAAACAAACAAACAAAAAAGAATTTAACACAGGGCTGGAGAACTTGATGTTCTTCCAGAGGACCCAGGGTCTGCTCCCAGCACCTACTTGGCTGTACACAGCATCTATAACTCCAGGTCTAAATGAAGTGATGTCATCTTTTGGCCTGCTTTGTTACAGGACACATGTGGTACACAGACATACATGCAGGCAAAACAAACAAAAATCCAACAATAACCATGCAATATGATAAATCTTAAAGAATTTAGCACATGCTACCAGTTCTGCAGAACTAGTTCTCTTTTTCTTGGGGTGGGGGGAGAGTCAGGATTTCTCTCTCTGGCTGTCCTAGAACTTGCTTTGTAAACCAGGCTGGTCTCGAACTCAGAAATCTGCCTGCCTCTGCCTCCTGAGTGCTGAGATGAAAGGTGTGTGCCACCACTGTCCACCTAGAATTGGGTTTGGTGTGTGTGTGTGTGTGTGTGTGTGTGTGTGTGTGTGTGTTTAAGCACAGGTGCAAGGATAAGAATATTGCAACCATTTTTTCCCTACCTACAAGAATGTTCAGAACATTGAAAGCCGTGTGGGATCAGGACAGCTTTCATATGAGACACCTTCTTACAATGTACAAAAACATCACACATACACACATACCTCAGTATCATTTGACAGCAAAATTGCCCCGGTACATTTCCAACCTGCCCTCTGGGTATGGCGCTGTCCTTGGGAGCCTGCTGCCATCTTTTCCTGCAGGCTCACCTTGGGCTGTGTCACAGCACTTGGCTCCAGCTTGCCCTGGCCTTGGTCAATCTCCTGGCTCTCAGAGCCTTCCTGTGTTCTCCTTGCCGGAGAACTCTGCTTTATGTCTGGATAAATCTTGCTGAAACTTGGGATCTCAGCACGTCTGTATCACAACCTAATTAAATTCTTCCTGCCTTGTTTTTCCACTTAATTGTATATTTAATAGGTAGGGGTGTGTGCGTGTGCATGTGTGTTCACAGACGCCCGCATGCGCGCGTGCACCCTCAACAAAGCACAATCGTGTGGGTGTCAGAGGGCAACTTGATAGTCAGTTCTCTTTCTTTCACCATGCATGGAACTCAGGTCGGCAGTCACACGGTGAGTCATCTGACTGGTTCTTCATTCTGTACTTCTCGGCCTTGAGACTTACCGTATTATGTTTCTGTCTACGGCCTGTCTACAGCAATTCTCACCGTCTTAGAGCTACAGAATGAATCTGAGGCTAGCCCGGGGCAACTTTCTTTAGAGCTAGCAAGGTTGAGCAGAAGTAAGGCAACAACTCAGGTGCAGTCGGGATTCACTTGCCTTGGTGTTTGGAGACACAGCCTCCAAATCGAGCGGTGCAACAGCAACCATAGAGAGCGGGAGGCGGGAGCGAGGGGACGGATGTGGTCACCATAGAGACGGGTGACTGACAGGCAGCGGAAGAGGAAGCCCAGGGAGAGGGCTAGGCTGTGAGGTGGCAGCGGCAGCAGAGCGGAGCTCCTCGGCCCGCAACGGGGTGGGCTCTTGGTCTCGTCACCAGCGAGGCAACCCCGGTCTGCCGTGGGGCTCTGGTGTCCCTGTCGGCCTGATCGGCCTGAGCACCCACTTGGTCCGGCTCTCTGCCGCGACCTCCTTCCCGCCGCCGCCGGGCCTCGCAGAGCAAGCCAGCTGGACACCGGGCCTCCTCCGCAGTCGCAAGACGTAGGCGATTCATTTCTGACTCCAGACGACCGGCTAGGATTCGCTTTGGGGCTTCTTCCGAGGCACGGGGCTGTGGTTGCCAAGGGACCTAGTAGGGCACTGGCTGGCTCAAGCGAGCCTCTGCTGGCCTGCCCAGACCCCAGCGTCCCCCTCACTGCAGCTGTCTCCCGGGTTGCTCTATTTGGTAACCTCTGGATACAACAAGAGTGCCTATAATTTGTGTCTTGCTGCTCTTAGGAAGGTGAACAGCACTTCTTGCAAGACCGGGTGGGATGACCTGCAAAATGGCTCCGTCAGCCATTGCGCTCCTCTGAGAGGCCAGCTGTGCTGAGTCACTGTGTCTGTCCACTTCATTTGGGTGGGCAGATGGGTGTGCACCATGCATGGTTAGTAATCTTATTTGACAAGGAGGGAGTTAATAGAACCTGGGTTTCTATGACACTCAGGAGCGGGGTGGAAGGAGGCTCTGACCCGTCTCTAGTGCTAACCTGCAGCGGTAGGTCAGGAGTCCCTTCTTGGGCCTGAGCAGACATGGTGGACCTGCAGGACAGGACAGGGTGGCTGAGGTGGGGCTGTTGTTTGGATGGTGCATGTGCTTTTCCCTAACTCTGCTTCATCAGGTGCTGCTGACTTCTGGATTAGGCCCATGCTTCAGATGGATGTAACCCTTTTTGGGTTGGATTTGACAGTATTGCACGTTCTTTCCTCTTTCTACTGGACCACAGACTGCAATCCCAGTAGTGTGTGGAGTTGTTCACATAG